CAATTCGTATGGAATGAAGTTAGTTGTAGCATGAATACCAGAATTGTATGCCCATACGATGGATTGTAAATAGACATCCCAATCATTGATATTATCATTGCAATATTTTTTAAGTTGATCACAAAATTCACGCATCGAACGATGGCAATTAGAGTTATCCGAATATCATATTGACAAAATCAGATACAAACGTGGTCGATGTAATTGTGACGCAGATTTGCTGTCTCGTTTCCCGTTTGACAAAGCCGATACTGATGATGATGCTCATCCTTTACGTATTCGATCATACACTCCATCAACTACCGATCCAATCAATACATTGCAAGTCAATGCCATCACGCGATCTACGACACGACAACTGCTGCGAAATCGCCAATCGCCTGCTTCAAGTTCATCGACATCCTTATCTACCACTACTATAACAAGATCAAAAACGAAAAAGAACACAATTAGGGGCTCACGTGATGCTGCGGATGTACCTGTTTCGCACTCCACGATGACGACTACATCAACAGCCGATAATCCTTCGCAAACAATAGACTTTAGCATGGATCGGATTCGAAACGAACAAATGAAAGACCCCCATCTCCGTCGTCGGATTCAAGCGATCAATAAAGATCCTCACCACTTCCCCAACAACATAATTGAACAACAAGTTTTATTCAAGTTAGTCACTCGAAATGGCAATACCAAATTAAAGATACCATGGCTACCAGTTTCGATGATTTCTGATGTTTTGTCCGCATACCATGACCATCCGATGAGTGGACACTTTGGTGTCAATCGCACGTACAACAAAATTAAAGGAAAATTTTTTTGGTTTCAGATGTATGATACCATCAAACGATATGTACGATCTTGCACAGAATGTGCTCGATTTAATGTGCAACGCAAAAAAAAACCCGGATTTCTACAACAAGAACAGCCGCCAGATGGAGTTTTTGAAGTTATGCAAATGGATTTTTGGACGGCTCCTGTTCGATCGTACAATGGAAACCAATACGTTCTAATCATCACTGATCGATTATCCAAATACGTATTTGCGCGCACCTTGCCATCCGCGACTGCCAAGGATGCCGCCGAAATGATATTCGAAGACATTATACTGAAACATGGAGCTATTCGGTGTCTACAATCCGATCAAGGTTCGCACTTCAAGAACGAATTGTTAGCCGCCATCACAAAATTAACAGGTTGTAAACAAGTCTTCTCAATCCCATATCATCCGATGTCTAATGGGCAAGTTGAGCGATTTAATTCAACATTTTGTGATCAACTTAAAAAATATTGCAATGATAATATCAATGATTGGGATGTCTATTTACAATCCATCGTATGGGCATACAATTCTGGTATTCATGCTACAACTAACTTCATTCCATACGAATTG